ACATTTTGTTAGAAACAAATTTATTACCTAATTAGATAAAATAAACATTTATTATTAACATTATTGCCATCATCTTCTTAACAAACTTTAATATACCTTTCTTTTAAATAGTAAAAAAGTAGTGATAACCTTTAATCTGAGTTTATTCAGAAATTATACAAATTGTACATAATTAATGCTCTTAAACAAATTACATAAAATCAGTGATAGTCCCACAATTTATCTCACAATTTGTTATTTTAACAACATTAATTTTTAGATCCGATTGGTGTTTAATCTTTCGTATTAAATTGTCTAATCGGATAAATTGAAATGAAAAATTGAATTAACAAAAAGATTTATAAATTTTGTAAATTTAACCTTTCCCACTCTAAAAGTAATTTAACTATCAAATTATGGCACAATTTCTATTGGAGCCTATTTTGTAATTATTTAATACCTAATTCACTAACCCATTCACATAAATTAAATGCTTAACCATATGCAATTATTGTGTAAACTGGGTTATGTGCCCATAAATATGCAATATTTTTGCTGAAATTCTATTTAAATGTTTTTTGAAAATATAAACATATTTACATATTTGTGAAAGTTAAAAGCTCAGAAAATTTTTATAGAATAAATTAAATATTTATTTTGATTTTAATTTATTTTATTAAAAATACAAAAAAGCTATTATTTTCTAAAATGTATATTTTATTCACATTTTTCAATATATTTTATTATACACATTCTTTATATAGTTTTAATATTATTTTTTATTTATATTACAAAAACGTTTTTAATATTTCGATCAATTAAATATAAAATAATGACGTAGCCTAATTTTTATGTAGGCTACTCTGGTCTTGTGACTGGGATGCAAATAAAAAATATTTTTGAATAGAAATATAGAATATTTTTGGTATAACTTATATTTAATTTAATTTTATTTATCTTTTCTTTTTCATTTTTAACATTACAATATTTAGTTTCTATTTTTTGAGTCTGATTTCATGCCGTTCTATAGTTTAGTTTCCAATTAGTATTGATAATATCTTAGATACTTCCCACTTATTTCTATGGAAAATTGTGATTATCGAAATATTTCTAATTTTTTTAAATACTTCTTCTTTACCTCTCAAATTTACTCACCAAATATGCTTATTATATTATCATACAAGTAAACATACTCGTTCATCTCTACTTAAGCAATATGCACTACGAATAAACCTCCAGCCCCTCCAGTAACAGGTCTTCAAAGTATAAACTTTCCACCCTTTTTCAGGACAGATCCAAACAGTAACGTATTTAATTTTCAAAATTTCTATTACCTCTCATCATAACAATTCACACAAAAGACCCAGACCATACTAAGAGTGCCTAAAGGAAACCTTACTGATAATTATTTTAAGTAAAGGTAAACTAAAATTTTCACTCTTCTCATGATATTGTTCGATTAGGCCGGCGATCCTAGGCGGATCCAATTACGTCTATAGGCCCATTGTATTATTAAAAACCCAAGGATTAAACCCATCTAGAAGTTTTCGCAAAGTTTATGATGCTATTTAAAGGGAGGTCCTAAAGTTCGCAAAGATTTTCAAAAAAGAAAGCCCACTTTCTACGCCACCCCCAATCTTTGAATCACGATTAATCATAACTATATAACAGATTAGGTTACTTTTTGATTACTTGTAGAATTAGAGACAGATAAAATATTTTATTTGATTATAATTGTTTTGTCTTTTTATAACATTTACACAAACAAGTATAAATAACGTGTTGTAGGTTTATCAAAATTTTTGTAACTTATTGACTTAAACGGCATAAACCCCAAAAGGTATACATGTTTATAATCAACTTGACGACTTAAGTTTATTTACCCTTGTTCGTCAATCTGTCTCAGTTCAAACCAAAGCTAATATCTTTACCAAGTAATTTTAATTTTCTTTTGTAATTAATAAAATTGCTAAAGTGAAAATAAATTAGATTAGATTAGTTTTCATTTTTATTTTTATTATTATTTAGTAGTCTATATAACTATCGTTCTAGGCCTAATTATAATGAACACCTAGGCGATAGTATTACAAACGACTATGAAGTAGTAAAAACAAAAATAAAAATTAAGGTTAATTTTTTCTTGCCGATAATGATGTGTCTTTTTATGACGAAAGAAACTATTTAAAAGTTAGACGGATTCAAATAGCAAAGAAAGGACAAAGACAAAAATTTTTTATTTTTAATTTCTTGAAATTTGGCTGACCATACACGCTGTTTTGAGTATTGCCAAGTACTCTTCATCAGTGGTCTTTGAAAATAATCGAATTTTATTTAATTAGTTTATAGTCCGTATATAATTTGTTTGGACTGCAAGTGCCAGGCTTAGAACTCGTGCCTGTCAAATTAGAAGTGATGACTAATCGTGTTTATCCACAAATAGCCAAAAAAAAAAATTAATCTATAACATTATATTTTTTTCAACTTCAGTCTTTTTTTATCAATTAAAAATAATTAGAAAAGTGAACTACAACTAATATAATCTAATATAATAATATATAATCAAATAATAATATATAATATACTAATATATAATCTAATCTAATATAATTTTCTAATATAATGCGGGCATTAAGAGCGAGATCTATTAAAAAGGCTTAAAATGTTAAGCCTTTCTTATCACCTGTTTATGTTTAGATGTGACAATAATGGACTCATGAAAGTTGGAAAAGCCTTCTGATTGCCAAACAATTTGCTTACAATTTATACAGTAACTTAATTAAGATTAATACCAAAAACTTGTTTATTAACGAACTTTACCACATAGATGCGATTGTTACAGTTTTTAGAAAATATTATAATATATAAAATTATATATAAATTTAAAAATATCACATAATAAATAATATAATTAAAATTATATCAATAAATAAATAATTAAATATAATAAATAATTAAATATAAATACTTTTTCAAATTTTTTTTGTGTCGAAATAGCCAAAAAGGCGATTACAAATGGATCCCAGCAGTTCTAGTTTCTAACTTATATCATAGTTACTGTTTTTCTCGTATAAGTTACAAGAGTTGTATGAATTATTGTATTTTACTTTATATTCTATACTTAATTGTTGATCTTATATATCCAATCTTTAATCTTAGTAACACAATTAATGGGATGTGTCCAACCACTTCAACTGTGAGAACTCCAAATCGCTGAGAGTGTCGAAGCTTGAACTCATATATAAACGACAATTTCCCAAAAATTCATCTGAGAATTATAATCAACGCAAAAAGCTCTTTACTTCAAACTTAAGTAAGAAAACTTAGAATGACGCGCATTGCTATTTTTAACCTCCACAAAAACAAAACAATAGCAAAACAAAAATCACGAAATGCGAAAATAAAAAATAAAAAACAAAAACAAAGAAGCGCTACAATTCGTTCACATTGCATTAGCGCTTCAATTGCCAGCAACAAGTTTTCATATAAGTTCACTTCCCATAACAAAAAACAACAACAACAACCATTAAAGAGTTTTAACCACAGTAGAGCAAAAAATTTAAGAATTATTCTTTTAAAATACAAATATAATAAATAAAAATATATAGATATATAAAAATTTAATTTATTTAATTTTAAACTACGATTTTTATAAAAAGAAGAAAATTTATTAAATTAATAAATTTAATTTAATTTGATTTAATTAATGTCTTCGAATTAACTCTTTTTTTCACTTAAAGATGACGTCGGTGCTCGATTTGGCTCAAATTGATTAAATGAACGAAAGAAATAAATATAAAAAAGAATAAATTCATTTCACAGTAAATATCTATTGAAGATACTTGTATTGCTTATTTAAAATTAAAATTTAAAGAGACTTGAGTTTCCCTGGCACGCTAATTTTACAACAGATTAAGTAGAGTTAACTATTTAGAGCAAATTTTCCCAATACGTGCTATATGTCGATATAGCTTGAATACCTGGAACAGGCCCATTATAAGAAAAAAATTGATTATAATAACTCTCTGAGTAGAAACGATTTAATACATAATATTTTATAGCTGAACAACAAAAGAGGAAATATTTGCGAGTATGAGTCAAGAAAACTCAGTTTTTCAGGCCGAAGTACACGCAATTGAACTGTGTCTAAGGGAATATAAAGAGAAACCCGACATGGAGAAAAACATATATATTTTCTCTTATAGTAAATCAGTAGTCCTAGCACAACGCTCACATCAAGTGACCTCAAAATAAGTAAGGAATGCCTTCTACTTCTTAAAGACCTTGTTGAACGGAGCAGGGTTCACTGAATATGGATCCCAGGATACAGCGTATTTGAGGGAAACGAAAAAGCAGATGAACTAGCGCAAGATGTTGCACATGCCTTAAGGGAATTCCAGTTCATATTGGCAAGTTGAAGAAAGTTGAAAAAAGTAGAGCTAAGTACTTCTTTAAATAGTTTCTAGAGTAACATGAACCGGTACCGCTAGGAAAGCATCTGGGGAAGCACCAGAGTTTGTTAAACTTTCAGGTTTCTCGTTCACTTCGATGTTTCTATGTTCAGGAAAAAAAATCTGTAAAATCTCTGAAATAAATAGCAACAAATTAAATTTTAGACCATTACTCAAGAGTGTCTATTGTAACAAACTTTTATATTATAATTATACCTACAAAATGGTCTTATACTAAAAAGAAAAATTCGACGCAGCTGAATTAATATTTCCTTTGTTATTAATAATGTTTCTAATAAAAGAAACACTAATAATAGTCTCCGAGAAGGTGTATCTAAGTAGAAACTTTTTTAACTTAAAAGACAAAATATTTTTCATTTGCATTTGTATTTACTTAGTTTAAACCTGAGCTTAAGAGGTAACAATATTTTTGTTTTAAAATCATATAAATAATACATAACCACAATTTAGACAAAACTATAATCGTATATATCTTCAAATGTATTTGGAAATATTATTTGGAAAACAAATGAATTTACATTTTTCCTACAAAGTATATTAATTAAAATGTATGAGTATTTTAAAATATGATAAATAAAAAAACACATATACATAATATGTTACTCTAAGTAGATATGGTGCTAATATCTACTTAGTAGAGATGGTACTAATATCTACTTAGTAGATATGGTACTAATATCTACTTAGTAGATATGGTACTTATATCTACTTAGTAGATATGGTACTTATATCTACTTAGTTGATATAGTACTAACATCTACTTAGTAGATATGGTACTTATATCTACTTAGAGTAATTCTGCTTATAAAACAATTATTAACAAAAAGTATTAAATATTGGTCGCACACATAAACAGATAAAGTAAGTTATATCGAAAAGTTTTCAACTTGTTTTTAACGCATTCGCTATCTCTTATTTAAAAATACTATTAAGGCTAAAAATGCGCTTTGTGTAGAACTTTAATGAATATATTAATCGACCTTAAGCTGAATAATACAAATATATTGATTACTAGCAAATGGATTACGAATTATAGCTTGCGTTTTAACAATGACGAATACATGTAAATTCCTATTTTTTCTTAATACCTTTCACAATTATAAACTAAATTAATAACGACTATTTTTAACAATTCGATTGCATGATTTGAACTAAAATTAATTTTAAGATATATTGCAAGAAATTAAAATATAAAATATAAAACAATAATTAAAATTTATAAATTATTTAAAATAAATTACAAGTTATTATGACTATTATGGTAAATTTTCTACATTGACGTTCCAAGCTGGTAAGCCACGGCAAACATAAGGTACGGTATTGTAGTGTTTTACTTCGGTTTTGCGTTGATGTACTTTTGCGATCAGAGCACATAAACTACCTTTATTGTAACTGTTCTTCAGTAGACTTTGGTTTTTATTTGTGGTATCAGCTGTAAAATAAATTAGAAAAATATTTATTATAGTTTAAAGATTATAATTATTAATTATAAGGCTAAGTAAGAAATTCTATACAAATTTTATATTTGTAAAATACCTCCTCTTCTCTTTATATAAAACTTTCACCGCACAATTAAAGTTAGAATATAGTCACGTAATATATAGCCACCTTACTCATAGCGACTTGTAACACAAAAATATTTTAACTCCTATAGTAAGCACTAATTGCATCTATACTTGACATGATGTCACCTATTTGTTCTCATATCCAAACTCACGTAATTGATTGCTTTTTAAACAAACTCCTACCCTTTCACATTTCCTTAATCAACCATTCCTTACACATGTATTGTAATTCCTTTGTTGTTGCTGATCAACTTATGTTGATGTTTTGGATGTACGGAACGGCACTTGGTCGTCGACGGGTGGAACCTTGCAATTCCTTTAATTTAACTGCTATATAATCTCCACAGGTTATCAATACAACAATCTCTTCCCCTGATTTGCTTTGATCCAGACTAGATTCAATCAATACCCACCTAAATGCTAATCTACTCTTTAACCCACACAAGCCCAGTTTTCTCGGTTATTTCTTCCTACATTCTATCCTTTCCTATGGCCACACTCTTCTGAGCTGTTCTCAGGACTTATTTGTACATAATACTCGTAGATAATTATTATACAGCGGGGATAAAAAGGAAAATGTTGAAATAGTGCAGTGTATGTTTTTTATTAAATTTGAGAGCAGCATCTTTAGTTGCACGCAGGAGAATTTCTAACCCATGAAGTCGTTTAATTATCTTTGTATAGAAAGAGAAAAATGAAGTTAATATAATAAATGGCAGCATTTTCAGTTGCAAACCATGCATTTTTTTTGTAATACCTAATAATACAACTTTCCTGTTCTACAGATACGCAAGTGTTATAATAGCAACAATAATATTAAATAATTTTGTTGATGATGACTTACTATTATTAATTAACAAATAAAGTTTAAGAAAATTTATGTTCTTACGTTTTATGATGCCTTCTTTACACCATTTTGGAAATTCTATGGAAGTCCAAGGTATAATATCTTTCCATGACTTAGGTGCTATCCAACTACTCAATAAACAGGATGCCACAGTATCCATATTTGAGTCTAAAGCAGGCATTATTGTGCCTACCAGTGTCGGACTAAAAAAACAATAAATTTAACAATTCAAACTAACAATTCAAACTAACAATTCAAACTACATTACTTACCACTTCGCTGCATGGTAATAGAGATGCGGGCCCACCATTTCACTGTAAAGACCATTTGAATGCAGACGTGAGGAATCGCAACCAAAGAGAAACACTACACAATTCATATGTTGCTTAGCAATGTATTTACCGTGTATATATTGTAGACCAGATCCATGACCAGCATAGCTAGAAACCAAGTGAATATTAAAAATATTGTTCAATAAATAATATAAAATAAATTAACTACTAACACATAGCATGATTGTTTGAAGAATTGTTTAAGTAGTTGATCCTGAGTAGGCTTATTGCCAATGTTCATTTGCCAATGTGGCAACCAATACTGAAAAAATTTAGACATACGCTTTTCCGTATTAGGTAAGTTACTATCTAAAATATTAGATGCAATAGATTAATAAGTTTTTTCTTTACTATACATAATAATGCTAAGAATAAATATTTATTTACTAACCAGGATTAATCACACAGGCTCCATTTGTTATATTCACTTTTAAGTAACCATTTTTAATTTTTTCTTTGTGACTACTGAAAAGTGTATAGAGCATTTGCAGGTTGTTCACACGGGTATATTCTTGTCCAACACTTATCTCTTCCCAAAAGAAATGATCCAAACGCTTAAAAAAAATACTAATCAGTAAACGGTTGAAATTTTTAAGCTGAGAGTAATTAACTTACTTCATCGACAACCAGAATGCAAGGATAGTTATTTGACGCTTTCCAATCTTTAATAGACTCCTTATATTTAAAAGCTAAAAATGTAAATCATCAATAATATAATCAATAGTTTGCATGCACTAGCATTAACTTTACTTACAAGTTACTTTCAGTTCAAATAAAAGACTGGCAGCTTTGGTTTGCTCTCTTTCTTTATCAGTTAATGTATTGCAAATAGCAAACAGTTCCAGCTGTGAAATTGACTGCACATGCAACGCGGCTAAAGACAATATCACACGTTCCTTAGATCCCCATTTGTAAGTATTGCAGAACTCATCAACAGATTTAAATGCTTTGTTTTCATAAGCTTCGACATTTGGCGAAGGGAACGGTTTTCCTCGAAATAAGAAACACCATGGATATAGAAACTCTTTGAAGTCTTCTAAAACTTTCTGCATTAAAAAACAAATAAAATTAGAAATATTTTTTCAGAATTATAAGACTTGTACTTACGATAATTTTTGTATTACATTCGCCAAGCACATCCCAATATCTTTTTTTGGCTTCTTTATCTAATGTTTGTCCATTGATATTGACGTGTTGTTTGAATTCCAATGGGATGACTGCCATATCTCGGTATAATTGCTTTTGCTTGGGACTACTTAAACGTATGCATATTGGGTTAGGATATTTAGCACTTCGAACATGACGTAATATTGTCAAATAAATGCACGCATCGCTTTCATGTATCTGTGGATAAATGGAATAGGTGGTCCTTGCCAGTGGTCCTTTGCATATTTGCAATATGGTCCATTCTGTAAAATAAATAAAGTATTTTTAAATTTAATCATAATGAAAAGTGAGATGGTAATAACAATATGAACATTGTATCAAGTTGGGTGCGACAATGCGCCAGAAACTTCATCTATGAGAATCACTTCATCATTAGAAGCATATGTGAACGAAGTAATTTACAAGAACACCCGTAGAACGATCCCGTCTTCAACAACTGGATTATATGCTTATAATAATTATATTTTATTTAATATATAAAATAAATTAATGATACAATAATTTGTCAAGCAACCGAAAGCAAATTTTGCGTCGACAATACTTATAGACTAATATTAATCTAATCTATTGTTATTCTATCGATTAACAGAACGAAGCATTTGGCATACTTGATTGATGTTACGTAGAAACACAAGCGCTTAGATTTATTCAATTGGATTAAGCAATGAAAGCTTTAACTCTCAGAATACTTTCAGTAATACAGATGTTTAGAATGTCATATAAAATATAGGTAGTTAGCAGCTGTAGCCGGCCTAAGCAAACGTTGACTCAAACCAAACTGTAATTCTTTGATTAAATATAAATTTGAAGTTATTTTAATGGAACTAAGACCACCAAAAGTTATAATAAAAGACAAATTTTTTGAAGATTTAATAATTATGAGGTAAAAATATGTTATATAGCAAACGTACAGTATAATTCAATGGATTATAATTGCTTGTGTAACCCCTTTGGGGTATGTTGAACGGCTTTTGGTCGCCTTCGACGAGTGGCTCCGGGACGTAGACCCGACCGTTTGTGGAACCATTGATATTGATAGCTGGCTACAACCACATGAATTATAATTCAACTTTAAAAAGTTAATAACTAGACAGACACAAGAATGGAGTAAATAAATTGAAATAAATATAAAAATTAACAAAAAAATAGCTATTAATACACCCATTAAAAAAACGTTTTAAAAAATAAATAAACAAAAAATAAATAAACAAAAAATAAATAAACAAAAAACTAAATACATCACAGTTAATAAATCAAATGTAAAAAATTTGGTGGTAAATTGAAAATTATAAAAAATTTTAAATCCCAGCTATTCCTGCACTACATGCACATGATTTATTTCCCAAAAAAATTCAGGAATCAATATCAACTTCACAGCCATTTGCGTATATAAAACATTTTTTTATATTAACTTACGCGTTGGAAATTCAGCACAAATTTTTTTGATTTGCTCTATGCCTTTTACAGAATCCGTGATATTTTGCAAGAAATTATAGCCAATAGATTTGGGACAGCAATCACATTTTTCGTTTTTAGTTTTATTTTTCTCCGCTAACGTCTTTACTGCATATTGCATCAAGGGATTACTACAATAAGTTTATAAATTAATTATAAAATTAAAATTAATGTTAATAGAAGATGCTCAAGTTCACCTTTTAAAGTCCTCCTTTTCCCAATCATTCATTTGACTCATAATTTTTGCTTCTTTGAAGTGCGTCGTGTTCCAATATGCTTCCTCCATGTAGTTATCGAGAAAAGATTGAAAAAGCGCGCGTACTTGATAAAATATTGAATTTAACATATTTCCCTTATTAAACTCATCTTCAGCGTGGAGTAAGAATATTTCTAATACATATTAAAATTAAATTATTTAAATTTTAATTTTACGAAACATCAAACATATTTTGCAACAAAATGCAGTTACCTTTTGCATTCGGCGACAAATTGCTTGAGCCTTGCAATAAGTATTGCAGCAGTTCATTACTCATTACAATAGTTAATTCGTTGCTAATTTAAAGTGTAATGATATTAACACCACAAACAATTAAATATTTGCTAAAATATTTAAAGAAATTGCGAATACAAATACAAAAGATATAACAACAAAAACTTTGAAATGAAATGCTATGCGGTAAACCGACAAGTGACATACGTCAAAATCTGTCATTACGAATTTAATATATGGCGTAGCAGCGAAAAAAAACGAAGCGAATTCAAATCAGAGTTGTTTTAGAAAAAGAAATTACTTCTCACTAATTATTTTGTAATTGTACTTTTGTAATATAATATGAAATCTTTATATTTAGTTATGTATACAACACATACAATATACGATAAATTATATATCACATTATACAATATGATATAAAATTTTAAGACTTGTGTAATTTGTATATAATAAAAATATCTTAAGAAAAATTTGTTATATCAGACTTAACTCAACCATGATTGTACTGCGTTTTCAATGGTTCACAAACATGTCTATAGACATGTTTACATATCCATGACTCTCTTCACAATATGACTCTTATAAAAACATTAAAAGACTGCTCAAATGCATATGTCATTGCAATGTACTTGGCTTAAATTTACTCCGTACTGTACCCTGGTTAGCAATTCGCTATGCATGGCAGGACCAAATTTATATGAAATTTTCTTGCCTCTATATCGCATTTTTTACATTAATTTTAAACTATCTGACAATTGGGAATTTTATTTTTCATTTCACAACAAAAATTGGCATAAGACTATATAAATAAATGTTTTAAAATATTTGAATATATTAGAAAACTTTTTTTATTCAGAATTTGTATTAATTTTTCATTTGAACCGTATGCAAGCATTTAGGTTTTAATTTAATATTATTGTGGTAATATTAATATTAAATTTAATATTAATTTCATATTAATTAAGCATTAATTTAATATTAAGATTACATATTAACACATTTTATGTATTAGTAACTAATTAATTAATACTGATACTAATGCTATTAATTTTAATAACAATACTAATAATATTAATAATATTAATAATAATTATTATTATTAAATTAATAATATTAACATATATTAATACTAATAATATTAATATATATAGTAATAAGTGTTTTTGTTGTTGGTATTACATGTCACAATGTAATTAATTTTTGGTTAGTCATGTACACTTTTTACTCTAAAGGTTTGTGTATTAACTATATTTTAATTCGCCGTAAACAGCTGACATTGCTTAATACGACAGTGTATAAAACTATCGCTCTATGTATTACAATTTAATATAATATTTTGTATATGTATTTATAATACTAAAATCATTTTTGATTATTAGTCTCCTCGTATAAGGTTTACTTGACAATTGATTAATTGCTTTTATTCATATAAAAAAAATATGAGTTTCTTGTGATATGTTATTATGGACAGCAACCCGTTTGGAGAATTATGTAGTCTTCGGCAATATTTCACCTAATTTCTATGTTCTATGTTTCTTTCTATCAATTTTTGTAAGTTCAGCAACCACAAACTCCCTCTAACCATGTCGAGCTTTTGGCCTACATGACTTGGTGGGAAATAAGGTCAGCGCTTATTTACTTACATTTAGGAATGTATGTACGTACGTACGTCGCATTAACATTAGTGTGTGCATATCTAAGTGAATTCGTTAGGCAAAACTAGTAACTTTCATTCATAAAATCAGTCCCAGAAAAGCTTGCAACGTCGCAGCTTAAATCAATGACGCATTTGCTTGCACATGGAATGGCTCACAGGAATACTTTTTCGCTTTGTGGTGCAAAGCAGAAGACGGAAAAAAGTGGAAAAGTGGAAAAGTGAAAAAAGCGAAAAAAATGGTGCGGTGCTTTTACGAAATTTTAATCTGACACTTGTTCTGACGTTGAAGCCGTCGCCTCTGTTCTTGTAATTATGGAGCCGGCAATGAGCTTACACGAGTGCGAATCGTTTTTGGCCCTGATGAACCACACCCACTCAATGTCCTACAAACAAAACAAACTCACGAAATTCGGCAATGCTTTTTATTGCACATTTCATTGTTGCTTTTGTTGTTGTTGTTGCCATTTTAAATTTTTTGTTTTAATTTAACAAAAACACAAAAAAAATATTAGTGAAAACCTCAGCTAAGCTTTTTGATGTTTGCAGTTCTTCTTTTTCTAATTTGAAAGAAAAAAATAAAAATAAAACTAATAACTGCAGTTTCTTTATAAATATTTAATATCAGAAATTCAATAAAATTTATTGAATCCTTTGAAAACTCGAATATGGGTTTCCAATAAGGGAATAAGGACTTTGAATATATGCAATTGAATCTCTTTAGCCATGGAACAACAAGTCAAAGTTAATCGAAATCTGAAATAGTCTCTGATGTAAGTGAGCCACTAAGCATAAAGTAATACTCTTCCAGATTCCTGTCCGTCAGAAATTCGAAGGTTTACATTAACCAGGCAGCGGCAAGAGAAGCTTCAACTTTGGATCACAAAGTCTAAGTTAGACCATAATTTCTTGTCGAAATTGGTTAAGAGATTTCATGGTTACAAGATTAACAAGGCAGTGGTAAAGTCTCTTCCACCCTCGGATCATCAAATCTAAGTTAGTCCAACGCCGAAATAATATCTTATGTAGGAGGGCTACTAACACTCTTCCGGACACGTGGCCATGAGAGATTTGTTGATAATAAAATAACTGACAATCATGTGATGGAGGATATTCTAACTCCCTTCAGTATAATAGAAGCAGTTAATGTTTGTAATATAACAGGATGGTTAAGAAGTATTTGAACTGATATATGGGTTAGGTTAGGTTGACAGGGTACGTGTTGATACATTTTAGACTATGTGACATGTGGCGTGTTGATGTAGGTTAAGTTAGGTTCGATTTGGTTTAGGTACGGGTCTTATACACTAAAATCCACTTGAGCTCGAATAACGATCCACTGTGATACCCTGGAAACGTGCTAATACAATTATCAATACTTTCAATCAAAAACATTGATTGCCAACTATGATTTTCCTTAAAATTGATTGAAAAAAGGGAATTACTCTAACTATTATTACTAATACACAATATTTTATTGTCAATTCAGATTTTAATAAAATTTAATCATTTTTGTAAGTGCCTGCAGCAATTTCTTTGAATTATCTCCGTGTATTACCCCTGTTAAGCTATTTGGTCTTTCAGATAAAGCGTAGATGATCCCATAAGTTTACTATTTTTATTTCTACCAGACCAATAAATAGATAATCTTCACAGTACTGAAGCCGCTTCGTTTGTAGTCCTGAACATCGTGTCAATTCCTTTAAAAACCATTTGTTGGAATACGCCATCGTTGAAGCGTTGGTATGGATACAAGAATACAAATTGTAGGTTTACTGAAATACAGAAGTTAGTCATGTCTTTTTAAAGCCCTATGATCCTTAAATAATACTTAATAAATAAATGTATAAATATATATACTTTAGTTTCGACAAAATTCAATTTTATTTAAGAATATAACTTCTTCCAAATCGAATGAAATTATTCTAAAAGTTACTTAACTTTATAACACTTCTCTCTCTTTCTCTTTCTTTCTCTAAGAAGACCTCCGATATATTTGAATTTGCTCAGAGGAAACTCATATTATTCACTAAATTTATTAAAGGATGCAATCCTGAATTCGTAGGTCTTTAGTGGGTGAGTGAGTACTAGCGAAATAGTGTAGAGAGTGTTTATTATTTCAGTCATCGCTTGATAAAAATTAAATATTGTAGTCAATTTTGATTTGATCTCACATATATATACACTTTTTTTTTCTTGAACATAATATATAACTGAAAAATAAACCATAATAAAAAAATTAAATATAAATTACAAAATTGATGTAGTCTTTATAGTCTTACCAGATGTAGTCTCACCAGTCCGAAAGCATGGACACAGATTAGCTTCTTATTGTACTGTGCAAATTATCTGAAGATAAAGTCTAATGTTTTGTGCAAATTAATTCCGAATAGAAGCTCAAATGTGTTTAATTCCATACGAGGTGCTATCAAATAGTATTGCACCAAAGTCAAATGTAATGTCAGATCCATTATTGAATGGCAATCTAGGGTTATATGATCCTTATATTATGATTGTGTAGCTTTTATTACTTCAATCTGCTAATCAAAAATGTCCATAATTGGCTCTGAATATATTAAAACCATAAATAAAGTCAATCCAAAACCAAAATAAATTAGTGTCCTTTTTTGACGTAAAAACAATTACGTCAATACTTGTAGGAACTGCACGTATCAAAAGAGAAAAGGACTAGTAAAAAGGACTAAAAGAACAAAACAAAAACTAAAAACGAGAACATAGCAAAACTATGCATTCTACTTAAAAGCTCATTCCAGTTCATGAGCACGCACTGCAGCGCAACCAACGAACCATGCAAATGCCTACACTCAGCACTGCAGGACGAAACTGGCAAAGGAAGCGCTACGCTGCTTGCCGCCATGGAGAACAAGGCACGCGTACCTTTTTTCTAGTGCAGCGAAAGTGAAGGTTTTGCGCTTGGATCAAACACATGGAAGGAAGGGCGTATGTTTATGTGAATGAATGTCTATATGTCTATATGCATAGAGATTATCATTTCATATATAATGTAGTGTGGATATGCAATAGTGCTGTCGCTGTAATGGTGCAGCGAATTCGCACCAAATAATAAGCTCAGTGACACTTGACACTTAATACTTTACTTCAAAACGCATTCGAGAGCTCATCGCGCAAAAGATATTAGCCCCCACATAAGAGTACATGGCATGAAATGGCTTATAGTGTGATTTTATACATTATTTATACGAGTATATTTCAGTGATATGTATTCCATGTTAAATACATAGTTTCAATTTAAAAGAAGCTCTTTAAATAAATTAACGCAGAAGCAAGTAGCATCAGCTGGTTCTGGTTCTCCACTTCAATAGGAATACTAGGGATAAATTTGATTAGAAAAAGACAATTTTATGTAAGAATTAATTTATCAATTTAAATATTATTAATAATTAAATAATGACAATTGACTTTTACAAAGAATTAAATAAGTTTAACAAAAAAATAATAAGTGTTAACATTTTTCATGATTTTTCTGTACTTCTCGACTAAATAGA